GAACGGCACCAGGAACAGGGCAAGCAGTCGAGTCAGGGTGACGGCTCTCATGTAGCCAGGCTTGTATCCGCAGAACTGCCAAACGTGCGACACTGAATTCGTGTCCCGGAATGAGATGCATCGGCGGTTCTGAAAGCACTGGCCATTAGATGAAAATGTTTCGTCGAACTTCACTGTTCGGTGTGAACAGGTTACCGCGGAAATTGGGCCCAGTGCTCCGAAAATGAATGCCAGGATCCATGTCACTGCGATCATCGAACGTACGAATCTTTTCGTCCAGATGCACCGGAAACGCATGGGGGTGCCAACCAGAATGAGTCTAAATCGATTATCAAATTTTATCGTGTGATCTCGTTGCAGAAGATGTGAGATGCAGATTATGCTGTTGCGTAATTGTGAATGCGATGTGAGCAGTCTTTCGTTTACTGTTTAGATATTTGCTGACATAGTCGATTGGGCGATGGGGGGTCGTGGCCATGAAGCTCCAACATCAAACGTGAATTTTGCATATAAATTTTATTTGATAAATTATCGATGTTTCGAACCATACTTGGTTGCTTGTCAAGTTGCAATACACCGTGACCCTGGCTCGAAACGTCGGCAATTTATCAGATGAATTTGCGTCAAAGTAATCCTGAGCAACACGAAAATCATGGACATTTTCTTTTTCACAAGGAGCGATTTTCCATTTTCAAGTTAAACTATGCTTTGATATAACCAACAATACGTTATACCATTGTACCATGCGTAAGTGGAATGATTGCGTTGCAAAGCTCCTTCTTAGCGCTATTACTGTGCCGTTACTAACAACTGCTTGAAGATAATATCTGGCATAATTGAAGCATGCCGCCTTCTGAACGAATCCGAACAAAGGATATTTCGCCTAGGCTCTAGAGTATGAACGGAAGGAACTCACCGTTGGACGGTGGCTACAATCTGCGTCAGAACGATTACCGTCTGGACGGTGATTTCGACGTACGCCAACGCCTGACAGAGGTGCTGACCGTAAGGATGTGCCTCATTGCCAAAAATGCGCTCCTTATCGATTTGGATCACGCCGTTGACCACCGCAAGCAGCAAATCGGCGACGACGATGTTCGTTATGAAAACCAGTGGTCGGCTTCGTCGCTGGACTTTGTGAACGGACAGCAGTAGAAAGACAACATTCGAGATGACTCCCATGAGTACTCCAAGAATGAGCAGAAACGTGACCACCTCTCGCTGTCCATGGTCATCTTCGATTTCACTCAGCTGTACCAAGTGAGCAAATTCGACGCAGTCCTTCTCCATAGTCTTGCTTCTAATTCGAACAAGTGAGGCATTCGTTTATACTCGCCGAAGAGTCGCTACCATCGCCATCTGCTTCCTCTCCGCAGGCGTAAGGAACGCGTGAAATTTCTGGCAATGAGCGATGTTTGCTTTGGTCTGATCTTTCTCGCCAAATCTCTTTGTTGAGGCCATTATTCTTCGTCATTCTAGTGCTTAAGGACCGGATGTGAGACTGCCACATGGCATATTTGCGGGCGTCATGATCAAATCAGCTGACCTTGGTTTTTGGCATGCCGATAAATGTGGCGATCACATGCTTTTCTTCCAGAACTGTCAACCATATGTCACTGAAATATATCTGATTTAGAATCGATGCAAGTGCTAATAGACCGAGGTTTGCGGTTTTTGGTAAGTATCAGCTTACCGATTATGTCATCTGAATAATTATGTGCAATATTGTATTATGACTATTATCTTTATGATCGTTGTACTTGCTTATCATAGTTTGAAGAGCTCATTTTTCCGTTGTGCATGTGTCATCATAGGCACTGATAACTGTTGTCAGATATCATTCTCGGTTAAACGGCTACATTTATTATCTTGAGCCGCATCTTCTTGTTTTGAAGAACGAATGTTGCGTAGTTGTTTAAAAATGTGTAATAATATCCGTCACCCGTTCAGTTTGTTTTTTCTCGGTATCGGCCCACAAATAACGCTTCATGCTCTTACCATTTTCTCTGCACGGTCGCCAACACCTCTCATGGTGTGACCAAAATGGAGTAGTTTCTGCTTGCGTAAGATTTAGACAGCGGAATGTCAAGCCACTATGAGATGTTCACTGCTTTTCAAGTCAGTCCTGGAGGACTCTAAGAGTCACATGTACTGGCATTTGAAGCGTCTAAATCTATTTGTGTTTTACCTCTCCTTTAGTATTGTGGCGACACTTTTAATCTTTGTGCCTGGTGTCCTTTTCACCTGAAGAAGCATTTAACTTATTACAACCATTCCGGCCAGAAAAACATGGCCGCATCAATCGAACGTGATTCGTCCATAGCGCACGACAAGGAAGGAATCGTCTGTACTTAACATCTGGTTGGTTAACTGACGAATGACCATAAAGGAATCTTCAATCCTGGAGAATCAGTGCATCCTTGACATTGTCGAAAATTATGATACGATCCATGTCTGTGTGTGATATATTGACCACAAAGTATCAGATATGTATGTGTATCGATTGAAATAGGATCTATCGTTATGGAGTCGCAATCGAATGTCAAATTATAAATTTAGCATCCGTAGATTTAATAAGTTCCATCTTCATTCAGTTCCTGGGTTTTCTGTGGACCTTTTAGTTCGTAGAAACGTGTTGCAAACTCTTACGTAGTCATATGTAATACATATAAGTTACTTATTATTGGATTCTTTCCATTTAACTAAAAGGCATAACCATTTACTTCTTTGCTTATTTATTTATCCATGCCAATCGTGAGAACTGGACAATGTCCAACGGAAGGGAATGATCAACTTGGCGAAGTACGGCAGAATACATTCTTCCCAGTCGCTACGGTTGTCGTAAAGGCCTGTCATGAACTCTGCAATGGATATCTAACGAGTCTTTGTTAAAGGTGTTTTGGGTCAATCATCCATTCAGCAGATTTATCTCTGATAGAATTTATGAGAATTTATTATTTGGACCGGAAGTTATTGGTAACGGATCCGGAATCTCACTGGTTATGTGTGTGACTCTCGATAGGTTTTAAAATGGAGCAGAATGCTTTTCGGTGCTTAATGTCGGGCACGGTTTGTCACGTGAAATTTAAGAACGTCAAACTGAGTTTGGCAGACTACCACGGTCGCAGAAGAACTGAATCAGATGGGGATACAGGTAGCTGCAGTAAGAGAGACTCGCTGACCAGATACAAGGGTTGTGACCGCTGATAACTACAGCTTCTGTTGTCCAGAGACTACAAAAGAATGTACTGCTCACAAAGGTGGTGCTATACTGGTAGTCAGTAGAAACGCAGATGCAGCTGTTGTACTCCGGAGGGTAGTATTTAACAGAGTCATTGCAGCGAGGTTCAAGTCCAGGTGCCAAGGATTTGGCGTCATGGCAGTTGATTGTTACGCCAGTGTCGAAACTGCGGCACAGGCAGTAAATTTATTTTAAATTTAAAGAAATTAATGCCATTCTGAATCTCCTGCTGCAGCCCCACTCCTCTGCGAAACCCGTGATATCTTAACTGTTCTGGGTGATTTCAGTGCGTAAATGGAAACAGAGAATGAGCTGCATGAATGCCTGAAATCATACGGTATCAACGAGATAAATGATTCCGGCGAACTGTGTGATATGCATGATCTACTGATTGGCGACATGCGTAAGGATCACCTGGTACTTCACTTGGTGCATCAGTTGAAAACCAGATTGGTCATGTGTTCATCACTGAAAACTTCGAAGCTGCGACTGAAATTCGACTCCAGAAATCGAACACTGAAATTTTGAAACAGAGGTATCCTGCTCTGCGTCAATCGATTAACTTAAAGAAGACGAAGTTGATCGAAATTCTAGCAACCGAGACCAAGTCTGTCTGCTCATGACACAGAGCTTGTGCAGAAGGTAGCAAAGCTTCTGCATCTGGAGAGTACATTGCGGGCAGGCGAACGAGTAATGAACAAACTTCAGAACCGCACTGCAGCGAGCAACAAGTTATTCAAGCTCTTTAAAGACAAAGAAGTTCGCAGAAGCACCGGGCTCAAGATTTATGAGTCATGCATTTTGAAAATGTTGCTCTAGGGTCTGAAGACGGTAGACATTAACGAAGCTGGAAGAAAACTGATAAACAGAATGGATGCAAATGAGGGTTTTAAGATGAACATTATGAGGCAGCTGTTATGATTCTGTATCAAGTGCTGTTTATGAGAGAGATTGGAATTTCCAACTAAAATGATTGACTGCCTGCAATCAAGGCGTTTATATGGTGCAGTCATTGCCAACCAATGTACGATAGCCATCTTGTGAAGGAGATATTGAATTCAAAGCCTGATGGCAGGCGTCCGCAATGAATACCCCCAGCAAGATAGGAGCACATGTTTAGAATTTACATGCATCGAAAGCTCTGTAGAATGAACACATTTATTTGATGCGGGTGGAACGCTTGTACGGCATCCGCTATGGCCTTCGATGCAATAAGCTACGTAGTAGAAGATTCGCATACTTCATCGAGTTCTCATTCACTTACTTTGTAGGTTACTTACATACATGCTTAAATACCATCCCATTTGCTAACTTACGTTTTACTTACTAGCTTGTATAATTACCCACCTAATTTCTTAATTAATTATTAAACCTTTATTTAACACACGTACTTACTAACATACTGGTTTATTTACTTAATTACTTTCTTGCCTTCTCACTTGCTCATCCGGTCAGCAGCAATAACCAAAGGGCAGAGTCGCAGTGTCTAGCCTCATTTACCAAGTTTGCTAGATAACTTCCCCAAGCTTTGGTAATGAATGTTCCATTTCAGTTGAAATAATGCGATCCAGAATATAAGTGGCAGAACTGAGGTTTCTTCGAGGCGTTGCTGGCGTGACGCAGTGTGAAACTTGACAGTTCGATATTTTACATCGCTAGCCATTTTTGCAGGTAAAAAAAGGTTCAGAATTGCGCTGATTTCGTCATGTTATAAGCCTGCTACGTTAGAGACTCTAAATGGAAATTTGTTTCGCACAACCAGAGGGAAGACAGCCCAGCTGCTAACTGTGAACCAGATGGCTGGATTATATAGACGGCACGACATATCTAGCCCGCTAACCTTGTCTGTCAAGAAGCGTATTGGCCATTGAAAGTCTGCTGAAGCAACTGCGTATTGACGCAGAAGTCTTAGCTGGCTTTGAAAAGGAGCATGTAGGTTGCTACGTCTAATAATTTATATATAATAAATTG